CCCGGCTATTTTTTGTTGGAGTTTGGCTGGGGCTGGGTTCGAACCTGCCACCCTCGTTATATGGGGCTGGTGCCCTACCCACTGAGCTACAGGTGCCATCTGCTTTCCTGTATTTTCTTTTACAATCATTATTTTGATTTTTTTTCACATTCAAATAGTCAATCTGCTGGGACTGTATTTTAGTGCACAGGGAAATGGGGGACTCTGACTTTAGTTTGCTGGAGGACGGTCACCAGCCGGCTCCTCACTGCATGAGATGTGGGCTGCGTTCCATCTTTGCTCCTGACTGCCAATCTCCTCTGGCCACAGAGTGACTCCATGGGAGCAGCTTCCCAGTAGCCCAGTCACCCCAGTGGGTAATGCCCACACTGCCTACCCTGAGCCCATTTTAATGGCAAAGAAAATGTGCAAAACACTTGAATACATGTTTATGATGCACTTCATTGGAAACACCAAGACGTAAAGCTGGGTGTACCCAGACACAGGAACACACAGGTGCACAGCACATGCACATACGTCTATGCACATGAGTGCGGCATGCAAGGCACACACAGATGCACCCTGTGTTCCTGTTCCCTATTTCACACCACAGCAGGAAGAAGGGTTGCGGGGTGCCCTCCTGCCAAGGGGGTTTGGGGCCTGAGGGACACTCTACCATCAGGGCTGTACCTGGCTCCCCCCACAGCTGCACCGAGACAGGCTCCCCACCTGCATCTTCCCCCGCCCTGCCCTTGGGCTCCTCTTGGGGCCCCACCTGCATCCTGCACCAGCACACTGGAATGGGCACAGGAGGACAGGCCGGTTCTAACATGGGGCTGGAGAGGGAGTCAGGGTGCCTGTGAGTGACCCACACAGCTCCCCAGGTGGCAGGGCAGGGACTCTGAGCCCTTGTTTCAGGCCCTTGGCAGAGTGGGCCCCAGGCAGGACCTGCCTCCCACCCTCCCTGCTCTGAGGGCCAGCCATTCTCCACCACACCTGCCCTGTGTGCCACATGGCCCTCACCATATTCCTCTCCCCGCAGGATTTCAGGGGCGATGTAGTTTGGGGTTCCACAGAAGGTGCTTGTCGTATCACCGGGGCCCAGGCCTTCCTGTGGGGACAGAGTTGCCAGGAGGGCGGGGTCGCAGACACACTCCCACAGTGGGAGGGAGGGGCCAGTCTTGGCCACCTCAGCGCTGTCTGGCCAGAGCTGCCCACCTTGCACATGCCGTAGTCTGTCAGCTTGATGTGCCCATCGGCATCGAGGAGGACATTGTCCAGCTTCAGGTCCCGGTAGATGATCCCTCTCTCATGCAGGAAGTTGAGAGCGATACAGATCTCAGCAGCATAGAACCTGGGGCAGGGACAACACCACACTGTCAGCAGAGTGGGTGGCACGGAACCTGCACAGGCTCCAGCTCCAGCCGAAGGAACCTGCCCGCCCTGCCGGCCTCCTACTATGGGTCCTCCCAAGGACAAGGTACAGGGTTTAAAAATCAAGTGTGTGTGGCCACAAGATGCAAATGGATGCTCAACACAGAGGGAAATGCAGACCAGAACTATGAGGAGATTCCATCTTGCCCCATCAAGAAAACAGAAAGTAACAGGCTGAAGGAGGTGGAGAAACGGAACCTGTCGGGAGTTGCTGGAGGAACGGGAATGGTGCAGCCCCATGGGAATCAGCACGGCTGCTCTTCAGAAAAACCGAGGAGGGTTGTGGCAGCAATGGATCTGGGCGGCTACCCCAGAGAGCTGGCCACGGTCTCAGAGATCACCTGTACACCGTTCACAGAAGCACCGTCCACACAGCCAGAGGTGGAAGCAACCCCAGTGTCCACTGATGCACGGAAGGACAGACCAAATATGGTCCAAACATATAACAGGGTATTTACCACTCAGCCTTAGAAAGGAAGGGAATCCTGACACGCTAGGGCACGGGTGACTTGTGGATGTTATGCTCAGTGCCACCAGCAAGACACAAAGGACACACAGCGTGAGACCCTCACACGTGGTCCCAGAACCATCATGTCCACAGAGACAGAAGTAGGAGGGGGCAGGGGTCTGGGGGTGGTGGTCAGTGTTTCAGGGGACAGTGTTTCTTTTCTTTTTTTTTTTTCTTTTGAGACAGAGTCTCACTATGTCACCCTGGGTAGAGTGCTGAGATGTCATAGCTCACAGTAACCTCAAACTCCTGGGCTCAAGTGATCCTCTTGCCTTAGCCTCCTGAGTAGCTGGGACTACAGGTGCCTGCCACAATGCCTGGCT